GTCCTGATCTACTTTGGAATCCATCAACACCAGGATAAGAGGGTCCAAACAAATTTCACAGAGGGGATGATATTCTTTTGCCTTTGCCAACATAAGTTTGAACTTTTCTGTGCTAATCATACTGCTGGTTAGACTGTCCAAAACTTGAATCTGTGTTTCATCCAACCACAAATCAGGGGGTCTCCACATGACCTGGGAGTCATGTAGTTGTTTTTGGCAAATTCATGTTTTGTCCTTTGATGTTGCCATGGAACTCTCCCACAAACACCAGATTCATGAGGACAGCCTTGAACGGTAGTCAAGGATATAGTCTGTCCTGATGATGCCATTTTTTTTTACTGTTGCCCTTGCATGTGATTTAGCCTCCCAACAACTTTTCTGTTCACACAGTTGAGTTAAAACATCTTGTATACTCTTGCTGGTGGGGGAGAAACACAGTTTGTAGCTGTGGATAAAGTAGTTCCTTATTTTTACTACAGATCTTTGGACAATTCTCTGTTATCCACCCCACCATTTTACTGAATGTTCATCTATAAATAACCACCAACAATCAATTTCCGGAAGCTTCTATAAACCTTCTGAGGCTTTGTAAAACTACAAAGAATAAAAATGAAATCCTTAGGATTCATATTTTATACTATTTAGAGAGTATGATTACACGGTTGTTATATGTTAGAACAAGGCTGTTAAAGATGAATAAACGTTATTTTTTTCATATATGCGGTTGACAGAGTACTCTTTTTAAAATACATTCAATAAAACAAAATGATTTATAAATGCTTGAACATCCTGATAAATGCCTTCAGTTCTTTTCAAAATCAACTTTTAGTTTCAGTTCAACAAGAGAACGGAAAAGTTAATCCTTTTGTAATCAAACCCTCTACTGAAATGCAATGTAGTCGTCCTACCGAAAGAGGGGGCACGAGTGCTACGTATGCACGTGGAGGAACTTCCTTAGTAGAGTAGCTCGCACGGATCCCGGATGTCGTTATTTTAAGGAAGTTTGTGGTTTGGAGGATCAAGTCAGGTGATAGTACAGGCTTGTGAACCTATCATGAAAATAAGCAGAGTTGGATATGGTTTTCGTCTGACAATTGAGGAACTGGATTGATATCTTGCGATGAAATGAGCTTCAAGATGACTGCTGCAAATTTGACTGTTCTATAAATTAAGACAGGTGAGAACTCGACATATTTTCCCCATTTTTTTCGTGATGTGAGGGGCCATAGCCGCAATTTTGTGATGTTATTTATAAAATATAAAATACAAGTGTCTGTCAGCTGCTTTATTTAAAACAACACTTCTGTGTTTTCCGGAATTATGTTCATTTTTTCAGTATTGTGGAACGGTAATCTCCCGGAATGTCTCAATTGCTTTACAGTTTCGTATTAAAATAAGTGCTTACACACCCAGTCAGCATTAGCAATACATAAGACGAGGTAGCCAAAAACAAAATACTGTAAAAAATCAATAGTGCTTTACTTACCTAGCAAGGAGCGTAAGGAAACACCTCAACTTGAAAAGAAATCGTCCTCTCTGTTAGCTCAAGTGGTCCAACAAACTGCGGCTTCTTTATTTTAATTTGAATAAAAGCTTCAATTTGACGTGCCAGTGCCTTTTGATGTTCCGCATGTTATTTCAACAATAACGCTGAATGATTTCATAGCCATCAGATCGGTAGCATTTATGTGAACGTGTTACGACAGCTACACGCTTCCTTCCTGAAAGGTCTCTTGCCCATCTAAAGTGCTGTCAGCTCTGGCCGGTTTGGTCATGTCTCCTAATGTCACCAGTTAGTATTTGAAGTACTAACGACCTTCATTAGTAAACATACTCCAGCGCCTGAAAATCTGATCATACAACAGGAGCGTGTCTCCATTGTGAGCTCCGGAGCTGAAGCAACCTTCTGAGGAAAGCTCATTTGAAGGATTTCAGAAAATATTTGCCTTCCCTACAGTACGTTTTTGATCACCCAATTTGTTCACCACTCAAGGGTCGAGTGAAGGGTTGATCTAAAGCAAATAATTCAAAGTACACAACATCACCTACCTACATTGAAGCATGAGGTGTTTTATGAACCTAAGGTACGCATTTGTGTTTCATTTGCATGGCTGCAAGAGCATTGTGTCTGCCAAATGAACAACGTTATTCTGGCATGTAGAGCTGGGTTTCTCTTCAGTGAAGGCAGTGTCACTCTGCGCCCACTACCTTTGCTTTGGCTCTGCTCCTGCAGGAAGGAGTATGGAGAATGATGAACTTCCGTCAGCGGATGGGATGGATCGGTGTGGGGCTGTACCTGCTGGCTAGCGCGGCTGCCTTCTACTACGTCTTTGAGATCAACCAGACGTACAACCGGCTGACCCTGGAGCATGTGGCGCAGGCGGCGGAGGAGCTCCACCCGGGTCCCGACGACTCCTCTTCCTGGACAGTCGCGCTGAAGGCACGGCTGCTGTCCTTCCCCTTCTGGCTGTGGGCCGCCATCTTCCTTATCCCCTACCTCCAGGTCTTTCTGTTCCTCTACTCCTGCACTCGCGCTGACCCCAAAACCGTGGGGTACTGCATCATTCCCATCTGCTTGGCCCTCATCTGCAACCGTCACCAGACGTTTGCCAAGGCCTCCAACCAGATCAGCCGGCTCCAGCTCATCGACACTTAGGTCGCGGCAGGAGCTCGTGGCTGGCTGTCGGGTTCACAGATCCGAGGGGATTTCCACTGTTCCTGCCAGCTTCCGTTTCAGGATAGCCTTTTACACTCCGTAGCCACTGCTCCTGTCAGAAGTGTGCTGTTTATTTTTCTAGAGAATTCACGTAAAGATGTTTCTGGGGCCTTTTTTTCTGATAAGGAATCAGTTTTTTTTTCTCTAAGTGTAATGAGGGTTCATGTGTGTACGATAAGACAAATTCAAGCTGAAAATGGCAGCGCAGTTTCAATTGTGTATATTGAGCTGGGAGCTCTCAAGTTCATCTTATTTAAAGACAGGATAAAGTGCACCAGACCAGGTCTCATTTTGTCCTCGAGATGAAAATATTCCTTTGTCAAGACTTTCTTTATAATACAATGTTATCCAGGTTCTACATTTGCTCAAAAGCTGAAAACAGATACTGTAGGAGTTGGCTATGAGACACCTATAAAGACGTTTAAGATCCACATCTGATAAAACATACGTACAGTATCATGCCAGGGACCCAACCCGATACAAGTGCCGAGATGTTGATGACTGGCACTGCTACAGTACATCTTAACCAAGAAAGCTGATAACACATTTTTTAACTGAATGTATTGTAATTACCAATATCTCTGCTTCCTAGTTTGTACGACTTTTGCTCTCCTCAACTATCATTGTCTTCGTATCTGTTTAACCTTCTGTGAACTTGCCTGGTGATACTGCATAGACACCAGCGTGATTCGCTGTGGAGTTTCACCCTCTGTGCATTACATTACATGAAGAAGCCTGGCTCTGGCAGTATTGCTCTAATATACAGAAACTAAAATTGAAGAGACCTATTTGTATTTAACTTGGATCATTAGCTCTGTATGATTTTAACCTGAAGTTAACAGAAGACTGTCTTTTTTAAAACGGAAAATTTCAATTTAAACTGCAGATACGAAACTTTTCAGGCAGTATTCACATAATTACAAATGCATATGCGTTGGAGTAGGTACAAATTTAAAAACTTAAAAGTACATTGAAGATTTTATCTTCAATAGTGAAAGTAACATTCTCTAAAGGAAAAGTAGGACTTTTCACCTCTATTACTGTAAAAGAAGCACAACTATGTTTTAATATACTTTTTAAGTTAGTGGAATGTTAAAATATCTTTTGTGAAGACATCTGTGGGTTGAGTTTGGACCGCTATGTGAATACATTGAATCACCACAACGACTGCCATAAGTCTACATTCTGTGGATTCTAAGCCTCTCTGTATTTAACTAGTAATCAATTTGAACCTGATAAAAGACATGGCAGCTTTAATACCATCTTTCCATTAGCTGTGCAAATTCTTGTATGGACATGTGGGAATAATGCACATTCAAATGGCTTGCTTGACATTGACAGGTAAATTTATGTTGCTTTACCCTTATATTTGCAGTAAAACTACTGTGCAAAAATAACTGTTTTAAGATGGAAAGTGACACTTATATATAGTGTTGTCTCCCACTTAGAGTAAATATACGTGAAAGAATAGAAATCACCCACAACGTGTGTTTGTGCTCAGTGTTTGTTTACAGATGTGTTGCTTGATTCACATTTTCTTGATTTTCTAAATGTATTCATCTTGAAATGTTAAGAATGTAATTCACGACCGAGGCATGTTCAGACAGCCCCAGATACTACAGAACTGTACTGCTGTAAGTGTTCAACAGTGCTGAATAATTACTTTATGTGTACGCCAAAGATTCTTCTAAAATCCTGTTCTAGATCAGAGGTGTTCAACCTGCAGTTTGGGTCTAGTAATACTGCCTTTCATTATTTATTTTCAATTTTTTCAGAAGCTTATTTTGTTAAGTTAAAGTTAGCTTTTAAAAAAAATGATCAATTGAAAGGCATTCTTAAACAGTCTGAAAGGGCTTGCCAATATTTTACAGTGAAAGCATTTAGCTTTTGAGGTATTTTGTTTTTTGCCTTTCAATACTAATTGCACTGTGATTAAACACAAGCCTGGAATTCTTTTTTTATAATAAAAAATTTTGAAAAACTGTTTTCTTTCAGATATTACTGAATATTTTTAATAAACAGATCTTGGCACTGATAGGATTAACTCAGCGGAAAAACTTCATTCACGCATGATCATGGAGGACAAGGTTTCCCTTAATGGAATTTCAACCCTGAAGCAAATGTGACGTTTAGAAGAGATGAATGGTAAAGACATTTTCAGTTTTGTTTGTAAATAATCACAACTATCACATGAAAGACTATGATTTTTTGAAGTAAATACAATTAAGCTGATTATACTTTTTCACCTTGAAGCTACCCTTTACACCTCACCCACCAGAGAAAAATCTATAAAGGCAAATATTGTAGTTGAGACTTTCTCCATTGGCTGACCTTGACCTTTCTAGCTACTATAATAATAATAATTGCTTACACTTATATAGCGCTTTTCTGGACACTCCACTCAAAGCACTTTACAATGTGGGTAATGGGGACTCCCCTCCACCACCACTAGTGTGCAGCATGCACCTGGATGATGCGACGGCAGCCATAGTGCACCAGAAAGCTCACCACACACCAGCTATCAGTGGGGAATTGTAGCCAATTCATAGAGGGGGATTATTAGGAGGCCATGACTGTTAAGGGCCAATGGGAAATTTGATTGGTAAGGGCCAATGGAAAACATGATTGGTAAGGGCCAATGGAAAACATCTCATCCGAAGGACGGCACCTGTTTACGGTATAGTGTCCCCGTCACTATACTGGGGCATTAGGACCCACATGGACCGCAGGGTGAGCACCCCCTGCTGGCCCCACTAACACCTCTTCCAGCAGCAACCTTAGTTTTTCCCAGGAGGTCTCCCATCCAGGTACTGGCCAGGCTCACACCTGCTTAGCTTCAGTGGGTTGCCAGTTGTGAGTTGCAGGGTGATATGGCTACTACCTGTGAACATCAGTTTCTCCCAGGTGCCACTTAAGAATTGTCAATTTTGCTTTTCAGGTTAACATTTTGTGGATGCCCGACACTATTTTTTGGATAAATTGTTTTCAAAACAATATCAGTCTTTACTGATAATTGCTCAGTTGTTTTCCTGTCTCTAGTCAGATATAAAATTATCAAGCAGTGTGAGGTGGGCCTTTCACTGGAATTATATCCTTTGTCCATCCATACTGATTAGATGATATTAGATCTTTAGATCTGAAGATCTGATCAGTCTCAACATATTCAAGGAATATTTGAAGTTCAAGCATGTAATATTGACAAATATCCTTCATTCCTACAAAGAAAAATCTTGTAGCATCAAACATTTGCACTTTATGCCCACTTTAGTATGGTCAAGGCCTATTGGAAATATATAATTCCACCACCAATACAGCTTGGTTTACATAGGTCCTTCAAATCATGTCACATGTTGTCAAGCCACAACATCAATAAAGAATCTTCCCACAATTTGCAAGCCTTGCCAACAAGCTGATTTTGGTAAACAGCCATGTTCTCTAATGCCGTTTACTATATGATAGACAATATAATGTGTGTATGCAAGTTTGAGAATGTGGAAGGCTCTGTTTGCTGCAATTTACTTTTACAGCTTTTAACTGCGATACCTAAGGCTTTGTCCAGTAGTGTTCAAAATCCATATTCCTTTTGTCAAATAATCCAGTAACAATATGGAACTGAGGACAAGGGATGGAATCAAGAATTTGTTCCTTGTTTAAAAGATTAGGAATCCCTGTTGGTTGGGGAAGAAGGAGACACAGAAAAAGGAAAGGGACTATGTTTCTAGTGACAACTAATAGTGTAAAAGAAGCACTTACATTTTGTAGTGACTGTCAGGAAATTTGGTTTTAGTAGGAAAGAGAACAAATGGTTTGCTGAGAAAGTATTAAACCAAGGACTGGATTAAAGGAAACAATGATGGAATCACAAACCAAAACATTTATACAATACACAAGCACATTAACAAAAATAATATGGAAATGACTCTTGAATCTTCCAAATCAAAAGTTTTTTTTCCCCATCTGCTCCAGCTGAATATAAAGGATGTATCTGAAAGAAACCTTTACCACTTCATTTCTTGTTATTTAATAAGAAGAAAATTATAAACAAATTCAGTATATGCATTTTTGAAGGGGTCCTGTGAAAAATTAATAGCAAAAGAGTGTCAACAATAAAACCACTACATAAACCACTGGTGTAGCTAAGAGCAATGGCTGCTGAGTTCTTCTTAAAATAGACCTACTGTAAATGAGACAGGCTAGGAACACTTACAGCCTTGTAGAGTCAGTACTTTGGCCTGTATATTTCAGAAACATGTTAACAGTTGTTCTCGTGCAAAACAAAATGTCCACCCTCCCTGGCGCACACCAGATTGCAGGTCTAGCTTTCAGGCCTGCAGAGTCTTTGTTCGTTTTGCAGGAGGCTCCACCCTGACCCCTTTGCTCTTGGTCTTGATTTCCACCTCTTCTTCTTCATCACTTTCTTCGTCACCTTCATCTGTCAAAGATGATGACAAAGCATGCTAGTTAGGGACCTTAGCTTTCATCTACATTACTCAACTTGAAATATGACCTGCAACTTCATGGCATTTCATGATTTCTGTTAAAAATAATGACTGCATAGTTTTTAGTGATCCAGATAAAGAACATGCTGACTTTAAATCATTTACAGTAAGAAGGTACTCATATGATACACATTAGTTTTTCCAAAATGAATCAACAATAATGCAAGCAATCCAGCTTAATACATTACACTAAACACACACTCTTTTGTTCATGTAGGTACTCTAGTTTTTTTCTATTTCCACATTTAAATTGTCCATAAACAATTTAAGAAAATGATTTGTGGATGTTAAGACTCTGTTATAGGTATAGCTTTACAAGCTATTTACCATGCTCGCTGAGATTAAAATTCATATCAACAGCAAACACTTCTGCTCCCTTACTGCCAGAAGGTTTTCTACCTTTTGTTGCTATAAGTACCTAACTGTATTTTATTTTATTTTTTCTTTGACTATATCAATACTTCCCCTTGATCTAAAGCAAATACTGATTTAAAAGGACCTTGCATTTGTTCTATTGAATAACAAAGTAAATATTTGTGAAAATCACTTTTTCTCCTTCGTTTTCATAAATGCTTCTACTTCCACTTATGCAGACCCTACCCAAACACTTGCGTTTATGTGTCCGATTGTATCAACATGGACTTGTAGGATTAAGGTTAAAAAAATAAAATGTTATGTTATAAAAGTAATTCAAATGGACAAAATTTTACTTCAATATTATAATCAGAAAAACGTAATTCTCATGTTTGGCTCGTAAAACAAATACCTAGGTTCAAGCTAACAAAAGGATTCCTAGTTCATGAAATGCAGTGGGAACCTGGCTTGAACAGAGTTCATATGGTGCCAAATGCCGAAACAATACAACCACTGTACGTTATGTGAACCACATTGTTGTATACAACAATTGATTGGTGGGTAAAGCTTACCTGTTGTTGTTTTTTTCACGTGGTTTATAACCACTTTTATTTTTAAATAGGTGGTTGCCACAGATACGTTAAACGCCAGTGACAAACTAAACAAACGGACTACCTTGCGTATGACGTTTCCTATATATCACTAAATATCAAGTGCATCAGCTGTGCTCTGCACCTGTATGTCATGGTAATATAACACAGCTGACATCTGGACCTGGCAAGCGTGAACGGTTTAAAAAGAATCCCAGAGAGAGGCACAAATTCGAAAGTATTTCCACTTAAGGTAGTAAGTCTTCATTCTTTAATTTTATGTGGTTCTCGCGATTATCGTTACGATTACAAAAAGCTGTAGCAACATCATTCGACTTTGTGTCGAAGTGCTACTCGCGTCTCTTCCGATGAACCATGAAGCAGCTAATCGAGGTAACAGAAAATGAGTCAAAACAAACTCTAGCTACGTACAACTCCCAAACAAAAAATACTGCTGTTCATTTCAAAGGGGGAGAGGTATTTACAATAGCAGGAAGGGCTAAAATATACAGCGTTCCCAATGCGTTAAGAGCAGAGAAAGTCACACCCGCCACACGTACCGTCTAATGAGCCGTTGTCTGCCTGTGAGTTGACTGTGACTCCCTTTTCCTGAGAGACCAGATCACTGAGAACGTCCGACACCTCTGTTCTTATTTTCTGTAACCCAGAAAGGACTGATTTTAGGTTATTTTCGGCTTTAACGACAAACTCTTTCGTACTGCCATCTCTGAATTTGAGATCCCCTCGCAACTCGCAGACCGCCATCACTGCCGTGTGCGACCTTTCAACTCCGACCCGGATCCAAAATAGAAAAAATCGGCTAAAGGGCTCTGCTTTCTTCTCTTCTGTATGTTGTTCTCTTTTTACTCTTAAAATTATGAGACTGTCGGAAAGCAAAATGTACTATTACCCTTTCATAGTATTGATGCAAATTACCATATCACACACAGTAGTCTGCATATTTAACTTTATCCATATATACCTGAGCTTTGAATTAAAAACATTAAATTGTATATTTCACAATGTCTTAAAATATAGTCAGAGTGTATTCATAGTTTTTAAAATTTCAAAAATTTAAAAAAGTTTACGAAGCTAATACGTCTTATACTTACAATCGTTTGAAGGTCTTTAAAGATTATATGGACATTAATGTTTCCACTGTGAAATTAGCATATGTAAGTTATAGTAGGGGCGTTCATATATACAATATTTCTTCTGTATATGAAAACAAAGATATTCACAAGAAAAATACTTTAATGTAGAAATTTAAATATAAGCCTAAATACGTCCTAGATACAAAGATTTAACGTTTCTGTCAGCAAGCATCTACGTAAAATACATTAAACATGCTACAAACAATGCAATCGGTGTTATACTTATTTGACGCGTTTCTTATTTAAGTGACCATTTCTTAAATTTAAGTTGTCTGCAAAGATACCACTTCTAACATCATACTATAGCCTAATTATCTGGTTCCCGCCAACTATCGTGTGCACCGCGCCTGCTCTGTAAACACAGTGGAAAAGATAATTCTAAAGAAAGTATTTTGTTATAATTTTCTTTGTGCTGTCTGATGCTATGCGTTCACACTTTGCTAAACAGAGGAAAATCGCAGAGGTTTGCGCCCGAGTCAAATTGTCAACATCACAAGCGGGGCGCACCAGCTATATAGCAACACTCTTCCGCCGCTCTGCGTGTTTGGCCTGGAACAGGAAGTGCTCGCTAACAATTTTTTTGTCGCCTATTTTTTAAGGATGGCGGTAAACGAAGGGGATGATGTGACTGTTTCTTTGGTGGATGTTTTGGAAGAAGATGAAGAGTTAGAAAACGAAGCCTCTGCTGTTTTGGGTGGCAGCGATCCCGAGAAGTGCTCCTATCCCGAGGTAAGGAAACATGATAGCAGCACGCCTTTGCCTCTGTGGACGCTTTGTATTTTATAATATAACCAATTTAGATAAGCAGCTTTGTCCCTGTGGGTGTATTTGTGGAAAGCAGTTGAGTGCTGTTTTTGATTTCTTGCCATGTGTTTAAGTAATAGCGAAGGAAACACCAAAACACCCAAAGCAAAACAAAACAGACAGTTCAATGGATTTCTTTGTAAATATTTTGTAGAATAAGTTAATCATTTTTAACCCAAGTGGTCAATGTAATGTGGGCTTTTTTTGCATTTTGGAATCAGTTCCACATCATGGGTTTTGTAGTTATCATTCATTCATGCTCTCACTCCTATCATAAACAAACGGAGGAAGTTTAAATAAAATGTAGATATTGAAAATGCCAGGCGTGTCTACCCTGATTATGAACGCACTCCCCTTACTTGCAGGTCTGATAATGCCCGTTTAGTCTTTAAATTAGGCCATGCCAGCATTAGTAAATGACTAATGCAGAAGTAGGACTTGACAGTGCGCTTGTTTTCCCTCTGATCTCAGTGGATTACATATTTCACCCTACTGCTGAAAACTCATTGAACACCCAAATGTTTTTGTAAGTTGTGGCACATTGAGCAATTGGTGATGCCGTCTCTTAAGTATGAATTGTAATGATTTACCAGTCGAAAGCTAAACTTACACACACGTACGGTCCTGGACTGCTGGTGTAACTATTAAACCTCCCTGTTAGCAAGTTTGAGTTAACAGGCATCTAAGTTTATTGGACTTTCATAATAGCTTCTGGTTTATTACAAATTCTGTGTCTGTGGAGTCTTCTGAAATCAATGGAAATGTGAATGCGGGGGGACTGAGCTTAATTTGCTTTCAGTATTTTGTTAGTGTTCTTAGTGGTTTGTATACTGTTGTGCTTTTATTGTACTATTGAACACGGTCCTCAACAGGTATGTAAATGTATTGCTGTTGCCATTTACAGGGATATGTTAAGCGACAGGCCCTCTATGCCTGCAACACCTGCACACCTAAAGGAGGCGAGCCAGCAGGAATTTGCTTGGCTTGTTCATATAAGTGCCATGAAGGGCATGATCTCTTTGAGCTCTACACCAAAAGGTAAGCTCATTGTGCCTCTGTCTGAGCCATAGGCTCTGGGTTTACGTCCTAATGGCACCTATAAAATGATACAAACTCATTGAAGCTTGTAGTATTTGCAAGCCTAGTAGGTTTAGTTATTCCTCAGTCACACAGTTTGCAAGCAAGGAAGAAGCCATTCAGACCTGTTTGTTTATTTCTTGCTAAGAGATCCAAGATCCCCATCTTGCTGTTTGGTGAAAGAAGTGATGGTGTCTGCTATGACAACATGGCCATATAGCTTGTTCCATATTCCCACAGCCCTTTGCGTAAAGCACTGAAGCATGTTCTTAGGTCTAAATACACTTCCAATTTGTTTCATTCAGTTAATTTGTGACCGTTCAAAATTTACTGAAGAAGTCAATTAGGTTAACTTGGTCATTTGTGCAGAACTTGAATACTCATTGTAGTGACTAAATGTTTACATTATAAGCTGTTAGTGTATTGTACAATTTTAACACAACAGCCATTGATTTATGTTAAATTGTTTAATGTTATATACACACAAACCCTATACCGTATCTAAATGGTCTGTTTTCTTTTTGTGTGGAAGCAATACATTATTTACAACAGGAAAACTCAGCCTTTGCTTCTTCAGTCCTGTAAAAGCTACAATTCAATTTAAAAACCTGTAAGAAAACACCATGATTGCAAATTGGATAACCAGCCGTTCCCTTCTTTTTACTTCTTATAAGTAAAGGAAATAGGTAGAAGTTGTTCAAATTACTCTTTGTTTCATGCAACAAAATAAATGCAGACTAACCAAGTGATATGCTATGTGGTGAGCCTGTAAATTAAGGAGTTTTGCACTGTGCAGAGTACACTTTTCTGTGTCATTTACTTGAAATTGGACACTGATCCATGTTGCATAAGAGGGTTTAAGCCGACATTGTCAACATCTGAATTTGTGAGTTAAGTATGCAGCATTAGCACACTCTTCTGTTCGTTTGTAGTCATTGCAGCAACTAGAATGGTAAATAGCTTTGAGTGTCATATTGTTTACACTTATATAGCGCTTGTCTGGACACTCCACTCAAAGCGCTTTACAGGTAATGGGAACTCCCCTCCACCACCACCAATGTGCAGCATCCACCTGGATGATGTGACGGCAGCCATAGTGCACCAGAACGCTCACCACACATCAGCTATCAGAGGGGAGGAGAGCAGAGTAATGAAGCCAATTCATAGAGGGGGATTATTAGGATATTAGATATTAATATTAGGAACATTAGGAGGCCATGACTGGTAAGGGCCAATGTGAAATTTGACCTGGATGCCGGGGTTACACCCCTACTCTTTTCGATAAACGCCTTGGGATTTTTAATGACCACAGAGAGTCAGGACCTTGGTTTTACGTCTCATCCGTAACTCATCCTGTTTACAGTATAGTGTCCACGTCGCTATACTGGGGCATTAGGACCCCCATAGACCACAGGGTGAACGCCCCCTGCTGGCCCCACTATCACCTCTGCCAGCAGCAACCTTACTTTTTCCCAGGAGGTCTCCCATCCAGGTACTGACCAGGCTCACACCTGCTGAGCTTCAGTGGGTTGCCAGTTGTGAGTTGCAGGGTGATATGGCTGCTGGAAATTTGTAAACTTCTTTAATGTATTGTTGTATCACTGGTGTAATTTGTCTCCAAAGGAATTTTCGCTGCGACTGTGGAAATGGAAAGTTCACAGACTTTGAATGCAAGCTCTATCGCGTAAGCTTAATTTCTTCTAAGTTCCTAACTTTTTAGATTTATAACTTATATAAATGGTATGAATTTTACATGTACACAAGGTCACGGCTGATTATTTTGTGTTAATAGCAAGGGTTGAAATATTGGTGTAAGAATCTGTGTGCTTCTTAACACTCTGGTTTAGTAGCATAAGAGTTGCTTAGACCTGCACACAACTGTTCTGCACCGTTTCTTCAATGTTCCAAAAGGCACTGAGGAGATGAGAGCTTGAAACATTTATATTGATTAATTACCACTTAGTTGGATGAAATAAGAGACTATCATGCCTGGCAAATGAAGAAAAAATACTTTTGAGCATTCATAGTGGCACTGCTAAAATGCAAGTCTGTTTTCACTGAAAATAGTTACTCCCTCTGGTTTGTGTATTTAAAATAACCAGGTAATGTTTTAAGATAATGAACATAAATTCCCCTTGACTCTGTGTGCCAAATACACATTGCCATTGTGTAATACAAATAAATATTTAAAATAAGTAGTGACTTGCAAAAGTATTCAGACCCTAGCACTGTTCTTACTTGTTGGTGCTTTACAGCTTGCAGTTATGACACTCTGAAGTAGCAATTAGCATGTTATATACACCACCTACTCCATGTATTCAAAGCAAAAATCAAAAAGACATAGATAAAGGGAAAGCAAAATGGAAAAGTCATATTTGCTTAGGTATTCGAACCCTTTGTTGTAGCCAACCTAAATTTAAATTAAGTACACAAAACAAAATTCAATAAGCCACCCAATCAGGTGAGTGGCCTCTGCGTGCAATAATAGGTTTCAGAGTAAAAACACCCATCTCTGCAAGGTTTCTTTTTACTTTAAATTCTCTACAGACAAACCCATGAAGACTAAGGAGTTTTCAAACCACGTCAGAGATAGTGTCATGAAAATGTACAGATCGGGATAGGGGTACAAAAACATTTCAAAGAACATTATTAAGAAGTGGAAGGCATGCCAACACTGCCTCATCAGCAGGGAAAGGGAAGCTTGTTAGGATTAAAGGGAAATGAGAAATGTATAGGCAAATCCTGAGGAAAAACCTGTTTTAATATGCTAAAGACCTAAAACTGGGATGAAAATGCACCTTTCCACGCAATGAATGAAGCAAAGCTACACTGCTGTGGCTTAAGAATAAGAAAATGAATGTCTTTGTGGCTCAGTCAAAGTGCTGACTTGAATCCTATTAGGATTCTGTGAAAAAGACTTGAAAATTGCTGCCCATAAGCGATTTCCAAGCAACCTGAGACAGTTTTGTCTCCTTAGTTTGTGTTGACATTTACTGTAACATATCTTACCTTACAAGTCTTCAATCTGAGCATTGAAAAAAATATTAAGTTTACAAAAATGTGTATGCATCATTTAGTCATAGGAATAGTCTGAACACTTCTGCAAGTCTGCAAGGAACTTTATGACCTTGTTTTTTATGACTTTCACAGTATATCATTTGCTTTGCTGGTGTATCACTTTGAAATCTTAATGCAGTTTATTATCTTTCTTATAGGATAAAGACAAATTGAACATCAATAACAAATACAACCATAACTTCTTTGGTTTATACTGTACCTGTGAGAGACCTTACCCAGACCCCGAGGATCAGGTATGGTGAAGTTTCCATAAAAATAAACAAATATATTAACTGAAAACATTTGATTTTTTTTTTACATTTGTCTTTTTTGTATTCCTAAGCAAGGAATTCCTTTCCCTAGTTGCAGAAGTTAATCTAAACAGTGCTTGGTCAGTGCTTGGGTGGCAGACCTCCAAAGAGAAGCCAGAATAATAGGGGGTGGGCGAGCATTCTTGGCACATTTGTATCGACATGCCTGCTGCTGTTATGAGAAAATCATAAAACTTGGCAGCTAAGTGATCTGGTTGTGAACATTCTGTGGGATGGAAGAATGTTCCCCTTCTACCAGGGTTATTTGAATGGCGCTCTCTAACCTTCTTGGAGAGGTGTCAAATGTATCTAGAATGTGGCTCTTGAAATGGTCTCTGTCTTCTCATCAGGTGCCGGATGAGATGATTCAGTGCATCATCTGTGAAGACTGGTTCCATGGCAGGGTAAGCTTTCTGTAGAAAACAATTGGTGTCCTTCGTTAACATGAAGGCTTTTTTAAGGAACACCAGGATACCCTGAGTGCCTACATTATGGAATTCACTGACGAAGTACCAAGAGAGACTGTTGTGGTTGTAAGCTATGCAGCTGGGTTTCAGACCCAAAGGTGCAGTTCTGCAGTGATGCCATCTTGTTTTATTCCTGTCTACAGCACCTGGGATCTGTGCCTGTGGAGAGTATTGAGTTACAGGAGATGGTCTGCGTTTCCTGTATGAACAGAGCACCCTTTCTTTGGGCCTATGCTGCACAACTAGCAGGTATTGAAGCCTGACATGTACACTAACTGCATTATTGTGAAAGAACTAGAGATAAACCCTCAATCAAAATTACAGGACGACTTGCCCTCTTCTCCAAAATGTCTGGAATAAATGTATGTGCTTGTTTCTAATCTTGAGTTACAGTAGTAAACATAACTGCCCACAAATTGTATCTCAAATCGCTTCACTAGAACATATTAATATCTACTATCTATGATGATAGTTTTCAATGAAAATCAGAAGTAGTAACAATTATAAGTCTAGTTTAACAGTGTTCACTGTAAAATAACAGAGTAGCTTTGTTGTAGATGCAGACTGGTAATACTTAAATCTGTAGCTGTACTATTTGGCTTATGAATTTCCATGTACTTTTGTGGAGCTACTGATATGGTAGAAATATTGGACAACCAGAATAACCTTCAGTTCTACTTTAAATTATCAGGTATGTGCAGGAGTTCTTTATTTAGTAAATGAAAGCTGTATTTCAGTGACTAGAAGAAAGATCACAATATTGTTTTGCATTTTGTTCTGAGTACACCACCTCCCCAGTCTCACCTTACAGAAATTTGACTAAACAGAGTAAAAACTTTTCTTGGTTTACTCTCCTCTGTGATTACCACACACACTTGTTAACCATTAAACGACAGTAAATACGGGTGAGCCTGGAATCCTGCTGTCCTTGCTTGCAGAGGCTGGCTAGGGAAACTAAGGGAGGAGGGATGCAATATCTTAAATGCTCATTCTGTGTATGTGTTCACTCAATGGATAAGAAAGGGTCTCTTCCAACTTGCATAAAATTTGAGTTAAGACTTGCAGAACAGACCCCTTGCGTATCTTCGGGAGAGGGTGTATGTAAGACTGGTGAAGGGTACGTGAAGTGAAATGGAATGCATATTTCTGAGTTTTGGATGGTTGTGTGTCTACCAGCCCCCTCGGTGACGAGACTGAGCCCTAGCAAGGCTGAGGTGGAGGTGAATGTGGAGGAGGATGGGCAGCCGACGGAACAGGAGAGCACGGGGAACAGTGAGGAGGACAAACACAGCATCAAGAGGGAAGGAGAGCAGCCCTCCACCAGCACCATCCCAGAGAAGGTACAGTGCCTAGCCTGCACAGCTCTGTTCAGGGGGCATGTTTTGGAAGAGCTCAGCGGTCTGGCATCTTTAGCCAATGAAGGCAGAAGACACAGATTTTACCTCCAAAATCTGGCTGCAGTAAAACATTCAACCACCAGATGGCACAATGCCTTAATTCTTCCACTGTTGAACACACGCTAGCTGCCTGTAAACAAGTAAAACATTTTGAAGCAAAAGGATTTTGGGGACAGACTTCACAATGAAGTATAGTGTCACTTGTAATATAATTCAATTTTCATCTGTCTAAGCGCAAATTGTTTTTGTTTTCTCATTGCCATTCACAGTATAAAATCTGTAAGCTACATAAACCTATGACTGACTCTAGATGGGACTTGTTTTCAATGCTGTTGCTTGTTTTCTAGGCAGTGACAAATGGGGAGGCTGGCTGTAAGAGGACATACAGTCAGATGGAGGCCTCTGCTGATGCTAAGAGTGAACCAGTCACATGTAAGCTGCAAGAGCTGAAGGCAAAGGGCTTTGTGAAGAAGGAAGGAGCTATCTTCTGGCCGTATGTGTGGCGGAGCAAGCTGTGTACCTGCAGTGACTGCAAGGTAAATTCACGTCATCCCATCCCATCTTCCTGTAGTACAGGTGTCTCAAAGAAATAATACTCAATATTACAGAGCACATTATAGACAGTCAAAAATAATTGGCATAATTAAAAAAAAGAAGTCTGCTATGTAGTAGAGGCTATGAACAGAAATAAATCTTATGATTTCTTTGAGGGAAATCAGTGTGTGCCAGTTTTGTATGTTGATAAAGTGGTAAAAAAAACTATTTGTGTATATGGACACAATGTGACACATGGGCTTCACAGTAGCGGATGTACTGTAGGAGCACCACATTCAGACACAACATTCTTTCTCAAACATAGCTTGCCAGGCCTGCATCCAGCAAGCATCTTCGTTCATTAACAGTATTTATATTCCTGAGGTTCCTGAAGGTGATTCCAGAAAGCAGTCCCTATTTTTCCCTATTTAGGTTGTTATTGTGCAATCTTTTTGACCCCTTCAGGAACTTTTCATTTTAATTACATTTGTTAGCTGTTACGCAGAAGTAATTTACTCTAGGGAAAATTATGTCACGATATTAAGCAAACAGAGCTGTTAAAGAGATTGTGGACAGACTTAAATCGGTGTTATCCTCTAGCTATCTAAATAGCTTTTAACATGATACCAATTAACAATACACAGGAGGGACCTACTTTAATATCCTTAGTCTGAAACCAAACTGCTTAAATTCCCAACATCTGGTTATTGAAAAGCTATACCTAAATGAGAGGGCTTTGAAACCCCACACTAAGTACCAAGATTAATGCCACGTCTTAATCCTGTGTAGTTTATGTGAGTTGAAAAAAGATTCAGGTTCCTGAGTGCCTCAGCCAGTGGAAAAGCTCACTCAAAAGTGCAGTATGAGTTCTGAGGCCTAGACTGCACTAATTCAAGTCATGTTGCTAGGCAATTCTAAGCATGATTCTCCAAGCAGTGACACAAAACTAAGGGAGTGTATTGAGATAGGGTAGGTGTTAGCTGACCAGGTCTTTCCTGCAAGATATTGACTCCTGTAGTTGGCTGCCACATTTTTAGGTTTTCGCATGTCTACAGAGAAAGGGCGCTAGTGAGTGAATATGTTGAAGGAGTTTGTCTGCAGGTGCTCACCGCCCCCTTGCAGGTAACAGGATTCATGGCCAGAAAGCTAAGTCATAAACAAAGTCAAACCAAAGGAAACTGAGTGGCCCATCTAACTCATTTGAAATCGCTAAAAGTCGACCAAAGAAATTAAATATAGAGCTCTGGGAACTCGGTTGTCCTGTGAGATTTAAGTGCCCTATCGGGTAACTCTGTATTGGTGCCACTCAGACCACAAGAAGGAACATAAGATCAGTTAAAAACAAAAAGAGGCTAGTTGATTGATCTAGCTCGTTTGATAGTTAGCAGGTAATTGATCCAAGGATCTCATCCAGTCACTTCTTAAAGAAGCCAGCATTTCGGCTTCAACAACGTGGGTGGACAGTGTGTTCTATGCTCCCACTACACAGAAGAGTAGTAGTAGTTCTTGTGTACAGAATAGCCTACTGTTATCAGATTGAAAATGCACGTCCACATAATTGCTACTTGTTACCTCTAGTTTGTGTCTCGCTTTCGATCCTGATGACATTTACCTGGTTGACAGTCAGTGCCCTGATGCCATCCGTTGCTGTTTCAGAAAGTCTACACCGAAGCAGGAGTGCCCTTCCTACTGGACGAGTCAGATACAGTGCTGGCCTATGAGAAGAAGGGCAAGACGGAGCAGGAGAGCAGCCTGGAGACGAGAGACCCTCTGATGACAGCCCTGAGCAGCATGGGCAGAGTGCAGCAGCTGGAGCTGATCTATGGTAAGAAGAGAGCAAAAGCCCTTTAGGTGTCAGTGGTGCAGGATGTGGACACTAGGTTGGGGAACGTAATGCCCTTATAATTGCTGTAGCATTTTCAGTCTGACTATAATTGAAAACTACTCATTCTTTCCATTGCTACAAAAAATCCGTTCAAAGCTCTAGTCTTTATTGGAATATTGAGTGTAGACACTAGAAAACAAGCATGATTGGGTTGTTCTCCTTACAATTCCCCATGTTGCAAAAGTGCTTTTATTTTCAAGTGCAGCTGTTTAATATGCCAGTCTATTATCTGAAAAGAAGCCTTGATTGGTCCTAACGTTGTAGTAGAGATGAGTCTCCTTCCCTTTGTTCATAATGTATGCCATGGCCTTTCACAGTGAGGGCTGAAGGTTCCATTTTATAAATGACAACAGATAGTGACCTTTTTGTGAAATCTTAAGTGCCAAGGCTGATAAATGTGTGACATATACCCCTGCAACATCCAGTTCGAAACTATGCTGAAATAAAATATGTTCTTCCTTCTAGAATACAATGATCTGAAGACTGAACTGAAGGACTACCTGAAGAGATTTGCAGATGAAGGCAAGGTAGTGATCATTAAATGTTTATGAATTTGTTTCCTGGAAATTTATATCCGAGGACATATTCCTTCCTGTTGCTTTTCCTTATAAAGGGGGTTTTAATGCTTCTTGCCATTCCTGTTCACAGTGGCATGCATTGTACTCTGCTTATGAAACCCCACCATTAATTACATTACCAGTTTGAATCCCTAAAGTAAATGCAGTTACTTAATAATGAAGTTTTATCTTCATTGGAGTAGCTAGGGCAAATATAGACACAGAGGACACTAAACATCAAACATTTAATTTGACCCTTTATGCAGAAATACAAAAGTAAATTTCTGTTCAGTTAAAATGGAATGAAAATATTTTGCTCATGGAGAAAATTCCCATTAGGTAGATTTGTCAATTGAATGTCCTACACGTCATGTCAAATCAAATTTCAAGCTGATTAAAGCAACTTTAGCAACCTTTTGCTTATTTGGAATTCCACAGGTGAGGAGACCTGCATTTACTTCAGATTTTGTTTCACATTGATTTGAATTAGTCTTTATCTAAGTGTACTTTTACACTACCTTATATTAAATTGTCTGATAAGCCTCATAAACTGAACTTATTATAAAAAAGGTTTTGGAAATTGTAAGACTTAAAACTTGGATATTTATTTTAATGTGAAGGAAACAGGAAATCCAGAAGTCCAGTAACATTGAAACTCTAGCAACTTAGCAGAAAGTGGAAATTAGCTTTGATGATATTTGGTTCATCTTGCTTCATCACCTGATAAACAACCATTCCCTGTGTCTGATGTCCCTCTCAATATCTGCTGTCTGTAGGTGGTCACCAGGGAAGATATCCAGCGATTCTTTGAGGAGTTTCAGTCAAGGAAGAGACGAAGGATGAGTGCTGGCCAGTACTACTGTGCCTGAATAGCTCCCCCACCACCCCCCAGCCTTGTCTTTATAAAGCACATCATCTTCAAACACATCCAATAGAACTCCAGTCCTTTGAACAAAATTGTTTTTAACCTTTGAAACAAGTATCTGTTGTCCCAATCCTTTGATTCTGTGCTTTTAAATAATGTTGCAAATAAAAAAAAAAAGCTGTAGGAAGTTTTCTTGGCTCTGAAGCTTGACATTTCACACTTTTAAGTGATTCCATGGCTAAAAGCAATTTCTTTGTATTATTTTAGTATAGTGATTCTGAAAGACTGCAGACCTCACTAAAGGGACATTATAAACCAGAATTCTCTAGCACTGGTCCTGGACATCTAATCATGTAGCAGGGCTCGTGCACTGAACCGGTAACAGAAATGAATTACATCTCACCCCTATAAAAAAATCTTGACAGTGTAAGACTGCTGCAGTACAGAACCCAGTGTTTTGGCATGGTGCACTTATCTGCAGTTTAGGGCTGTGTGCTAAGAGCCCGTGACTGACCGGGATTGAATGGAGGGAGAGCTGCACAACGTCACCCTGGTACCGTTAACTTGGATTTCTTAGGCTCATGTCTGTCAGAATCCGAGGTTGCTGTGGGGGAGAGTAGGAGGAAGGTTAGTGGGGAGAATACAGCACAGCTCATGCACTGAGCCAGTTACAGAAACAATGTCGTCCCCCTCTGAAATCTTGACTGTGTAAAACTGTCATAGGAGTTTTTCACTATTGAGAAGTGCTGTCCTTGCGTGGAGATCACAAGCAAACAGGACTGAATACCAGCCATGGCAGGGAGAGCTGCAGGAATAACATACAATATGTGACCTGTTCCCACAGAATGCAATTGATAAATTAAGCAAATCTGTTCTACTAAGAACTTTGGTCCTCGAGAGCTAAAAATGTGGGTACTTAGATTTTAGGACCCAAATGATCTTTAATTTACCTACTCACAAAATTATCCAAGGGTTAATGGATAATTTTGACTAGGGTTGGAGAACCCTTTAAACTGACCGTCTCCATAAAGACACATGGTACTGAATTTTCATTTCAATCATTCCTTTTTTTTGACTGTAAATTAATGCCTTTTCATTACCTTCTCTGCGCTGCAAAAATGCATTGAAAAATGCAGCTTTTGGTCAGACGCCTGCGAGGAAGTTCATCTAGCATGTTGCTTCAATGAAAAAAGGATTTTAAACTGTTGAAAAAATGTGGACTATTTTGCAAAAAGTCCAGTGGGAATCTTTTAATCATGATCCTTGTTTTTTTTTGTATTTTCTTAAGGGGGGGGGGGGCATTTATTTTAGACTGAGTAATCTTTCCTTTCAGTTCAATGAAATGTAATTTTTAATTGTTAATTTTTAGAATCACTATTTGTATTGTACATATAACCGATTTAGAACCATCAGCTGTCCTTTACTGCTCAGCTGTAAAAGACAGGTGCAACAACTATTCCTTTAACATCGCAAGCAAAATGAGGAAATGCGCACACCCGTTGAGCTGTGCTGACTGGAGACCCCAGCCTGGGTAGTTGTAGGAGTCTTGTTTTCTGGAGAGCTGACAGGGAACATGGCTGAACTCTTGACTGCTAGCTAGAGCAGCCTGTGATTAGAGAGCACGCCTTTACTGGCTGAGCTCTTTAGGAGCCATTGTTTGTTAAACTAAAATTTAGATTTTATCCATGTATATCTACTAAACCTTCCATTGTATGTTTTCAGGTCTTTAATATATTTACAGACTATTATCTGGTTGTATCAAGTTCTAAAAGGCTTGGAAAGTTTGGTAGACTTTTCCATTTATTTTCTAGGACGAAATATCGTTTAAATTAAAACTTCTGCAAATAAAAACAATTGTTTGTGTGCTGCATCTATTGATATTTTACATGTCTAGTAATCCATTTGCAGTAGGTTATCTTTTTTATTGAAAATGCTATGAAATGTGCAAGTAGTTTTAAGTAGAAGTCTTCAAAGTTAATTTACATTTGAAAGTAATGGGATTCAAAATATGAAAGTGACCCCATTCTGGTGTCAATTTATTGCACGACAAGGTAGTTAAGAAATGATTTCGGATGAGGTCAGCTGCAACTCCCTTTTTCTCAGAATAAAATCTATTATAAAAAGGGTTTAAGAAGAACTTGTACCTTATTTATGGATTGTCTATTGTTTCTGTTCAACTGACGTCTGCTGGTAAAAGCCCTCTGGTTTACATTTCTCATTCACAGCTGCTGCACTTGAATGTTTAAACCAACATTAAGACTTAAAGTCACAAGGAACTGGCAGCAAACACAGGAGAATTCTATAGAAGCAGTTTATTTTGAAGATGCCAACTAGTTGCAGATTTAAAGTTTTATCACTGTTACGTGCCTCTTGTGGGATAACAGTAGAAAAATAGAACCAGTGAAACTTTATACAACAACTTGTCATGGTAATCTACAAGAAAGGGGCTTATTTATATACATGTACATGTATAGAAACAGACCACAAGTTAAGGAGATTCTGTTCAAAGGTACCTAAAAATTAAAAAATACTATCTTTCAAAAACACTATATACATTGAAGCATACTAGAGTTTACAAAGAACTTGTTATGCAGGTTTGTAGAAAACGCTTGCATAGGACATAAGTTCACTTCTCAAGAAAATACTGAGCCTTTACAACGAAGGCACTTGCTTGACTCTATACAAAGGAAAGCAAAGTAGTGTCTTGAGAAACAAGATTTTTCTTCTGGAAACTAAGCAAAAACCCCATTGCAGAAAACAGCACAACCCAATCTCTTTATCTCCCCCCACCCATGAAGCATGCAAAATGGAAAATGAAAAAAAAAAACATTTTGCTCAGCTGCCACTTCATTGGAGAAACAATAAAATGCTGCAGCAAACACATACATGGAACAAATCATTGTCATATCCTAATTTAAAGCAAACAAGCATAATACTCCAAAGGGTTTCAATAGAAATCCCAGGGATTACAAATTAAATGTTCAATATTTTGTTTTTAAAAACAATACTTGCATGCAATGCTCGAAGTTGATACTTCATAAAAGCAGAAGTGAAATGCTGTTTCGCAACAAAATCAAATGTAACATGGGACTGTGATGGCATTAAGCACTACTCAATGACTACAATAGACATACAGTTTTAAGATTACATAAACAGCCATTGTAGTGCAATGGTACTTTTATACAATGAACTGTAAAGAACTATGAATAGCAACACAAGTCATTAACTAGAAACAGCTTGAAAAATATATTAATTCCTTTCAGAATTGAACAACTAATAGACAAAGAAAGGCCAATTAAGCTTTGGAAAAGGCTTTTGGAAATGGCTATTATTGAAAACATATATGTGAATAAAAGTCATGCATGACTTGTGTTGCTACAAAAAAAAAGCTGACAGACCCCAGTTACAGTAACCATACAACACCACAAGTTAATACATTATTACATTAACAACAACGCCTTGGAATCTGCCATACATCACATCCAAATAGTGCACAGACTCTCCTACTGACAAGTAATCGATCTAACTCATTCATGTAAACAAAGAATACAAAAGTTCACAAAGTGAAGAGGTTTCATACAAAGGTCTTGGGGTGAATCAGATCCAGCATCTTTATATAATCTTTTTAAAAACTTCTTAATCCACTATTGTTATTGTTAAAGGGTGTGATTCTGTTCTACAACTCATACTGTTATTCTTCACTGTCCATTGAATGCACTGCTTGCTTACAAGATAGTCTTGAAATCTAAGGTTACATTATCTTAATCTTTTTTCAAATGTTACATTAGTTTCAAGAATGTAAATGCCTTTATCCACTCAAGTTATTCTCCCTTTGCTTATCAGTTAAAGAAAAAGATCCTATTTAATCCCTCGATAATGTATTTTCAGCTTTATGAGTCAGAAATAAGCAAAATCTGTAGTTCTTAATGTTTCAATACATTGTGTTCCCTTTGTAATCCATTTACAGTGCTATTGCCTCCAGAACAAACAGAGAATTACATTTCTGCAGTTTGCATATATATCCTTCACTTTCTTCTTTACATACACATGCAAGGTGAATATGTATAAAGCATGAAGCCTCAACGACTTGATTTCTGTGGAGATTTGCAACCATCAAATCTTTCATCATTCAATTAGCAGCTTCCGAGCAATATACATTGCAAAAAATATGCCAAGAGTTACTTCCAGGCCAGTATAAGAAGAGACCAGCATTTTTTTCTATCATCCTCCTCAAATTCTTTAAATATTCTCTAATGAAGAAAAGCAAGTCTTTTACACCAGCTGTGGGGGGAAAAAGCATGCAGACTGGAAATTTCCCTCAAAAGAAGCACTGTGTAATACTTTTAGAGTTACATACAGCACTACCCTATTGGAGATATAGAATACTTTACAAAAAATAAATCAATAGAGAAAATCTCTATTTCCTATAAAATAGTACTCTGTACAAAGAAGCCCATGCTATGATACTGCATTTTTGAAGCAAATGAGTAAAGAACAAATATTTCCTCAGTTATATGCAAAGTCATGTAAAACTAACTATCCTATGTAAAGTGAAATGAGATGCTTTATACATTCCTCCAGTGAAAAGAAACCCTTCCAATTGTTTTGAAATAAGAAATCTCACTGTGGTTTAATGTCCTTTTATTATGATTTATCTCTATCAAGAGGACAGAGGAGGCTATCCTGTGGCCAGTGTTTTTTTTCCCTATTGCTGTCTCTCTTGTCTGTTTAATGCTGAACAGTACAAAACATTTAAGCTCTGGTCAGAAAGAATTTTATGGAAAATGCCTCAGAACAACTTCAAGGGCAGTTTCTCTTTTTTATGACTCGAGCTAGGATGATGCAGCTATAGTTTGATGAATCCTTTTCCGAGTAGCATTGTCTTTGGTTTTCATGATTTTCTATGCACATGGGCACGCACAGATTGTCAAAGCAAAAGGATTGTCTTAGATTACTTTCTAAGATCTAAGATCTCCATGGCATGGGCTTTTTAAATTTAAGGTTGATACTGACAAGAACAGCATAAATGATTTCTCACTTTTGTTTCAAATGAAAAGCTAAAGAATGAAAGAACCATTTCTCACCACTCTCCTTGTATTTTAAATTGTTATCCATTTTGCCTGGAACCTATTTAAAAGCAGCACTTTCCAGAAGCCATATAATATCTTGTGATAACTCACAGGCTGATGAAGCTACTATCTCCAATGGCCTTTCTAAACCATTTGAGTAATTTAATTAATCTGGCTTTAGCAAACCCCCATAGAAAACAAGTTGGAACGGTAGGCTGTAGGATAATGTTTTCTATTCCAATATTAAAAGAAACCCATTTTAACATTCAGAGAAATAGGCTTGTTATACAAAGTCCACATTACCTACAACACTGAGGGTTTAAGTCCCTTAGAGATCTGCCCTGCAAGTACAATAAGAAAGGTAAATGTGTCACCTCATACTTGCAAGATGTCGAAAAGGACAACAGATAAAGACAGTGATCATGTTTTTCTAAACCAAACTTTAGTACAACATCAAAACATTTCCTGTTAAATAAGCAGATACCGATGGATTGCATACTAGAGTAAATCATTTGGGTTGAGGTGACTACAAGGTGAGGATGCAGATTTGATCCGTGGCTTGAGGTAAAACTGTACATGAACTGCTGCAGGGGAGGGGTTACGATGCCTGTCTAGAGGTAGAAACGTGTTAGCACAGGATAAAGAAGCAAGAAAAACTGATATTTCACTCTTAGCCCAAAAGGTAGGTGGAGCTGGACAGGTCACGGGCTACAAACTGAAAGATGCAATGAGAGACATCTTCATACAAGTGCTGTCAAGTCACAGTACATTAAGATACTCGAGCCAATAAAAAAACTGAACACAATACAGATGATTGAATTTGGTCACAAACAGGAGTGCAAAAAAGTCAGCACATTAAGGCTTTTCATGTTTTGATGCCACTTAGAAAAATCAAGTCCACTTAAAAAATTAGAAATCAAATGTTGCACTCATCAGGTGTACCTTCAACTCAAGTGCAAGCATCCTATAGATTATGACTTATGACAGGTTGATAGACTGGGTGGTTGTTGTTTTTTTCAAGCCTTCATCATTGATCTACTGTTAAAGGATTTTTCTTATTAATGCCTGAAACTCCTTCTGTAATGAGGGACAATCCATCTGTAATGATATATGTGCTAAAAGGATCAATACACAAGAGCACTCACAATAGGGGTTTCCAGCACAGTGGGCTTCTGTAACTTCATTGACTTTATATCAGCTCTGCTACACTGCTCTAATACATCCCTGCTCACGTGTTTAATGGTCTCAAGTGGAGCAGTTTGAATTGGGTTACTTTGTCCCTGGCACCTCTTTTCTCACTGTTGTGTCATTCCATCCCTACTGATATCAATCAAATCACAGCAATAAACTATTTTACACATAAGCAGTATTATAGCTGATGAGATTGTTTTCCTTTTACTGTAGACATTCTACCTTTGAAATATTCTAGATAACATGGCCGTTAGTGTTTTATCACATTTGGGGATGTATATTTTGCCAAATTAGTATCAGGGAAAAAAAGAGCTGTAATTGTAAAGTAATAACCCTCAGCTATTTAACAAGTCTGAACTCAGTTCTAGTTAGATAGACACAGCCACATCACTCTTAACAGTATAGCCACTGCTTGAATGCACTCATTTAAAGGCTGAAATTGATTTCAATTCATCACCCAGTTGACTCAATTAACCCGATATTTCAGGGACAGAGGAGTGTGTGATTTTGTAAAGGTACAATATACACTGGACTAAGGGATATGAACGTGCTGCTGGATTAGCCTGCACATCTCTGACTAAGCTATACACAGGTCTTAAACCTAGTTTCTAAGGAGTTCTAGTTTTTAATCAGTGTAGTGAATAATCAGTAAGGCTTTCACATAGCTGTGTTTTGTCTTGGTATGCGTTATGTAATTTCATAAACACCCGCAAAGCAAGACATGGATCTATAAATCATCCCAACCCCAATTACCAGGTCACTGTGCACAGGCACTTGTTTCACACTGTTGTCCTTATATCTCTGATAGTAGATTTCTGCCATCTTACAATGCATTTCAGTCAAGGTTTTTGTTATTAAACTTTCAACGGAGGCCAGGTGACGCTGTATGTCCTTAAAGTCCATGAGGGCACTGCGATATTAACAATCCTCCACAACAACCACAATCCCTTCCTAATACAAACTGAATGGTCATACAGTACATCTGCTAACCGGTGGAACCAGTACAAGATAAGGGAACAAGAAAAGTATTTTCTTTAGCATAGCAGTTTGCAAATTACTATTAACCTTCCCGGTATATGCTGCAAATTACAATTAACTATATCAGAAAAAAAAAAACATTATTCATTACAACAACCTTGAGCAGACTGTTTATATGCTGGCATATACCATGAACTTTCAAGATGATTTCAAAGAAAAAGATTTGTTATAAAGTTCTTGGAAGAGTTAACCCTTTCCTCCTTAATAAGCCACTGATAGTTTTCATGAACAAATATCTGTCATTCATTACAGAAAACACACTGTACCTATAACAAATCTGATGGATGAAGGTCAGGAAGTAAGAACCTATGATTAATTTGGGGAGCTATTAATCATAAGCAATTGATCCAGAGTGCTCTTTTGCAGGGCTTCCTGTAATCACTTTCTGGGTTGGTTTGGTTTAGACTTTACTACATCGCTTCAAAATTCAAATTTACTTTCTCCATCTCTTACTCAAGATAGTGTAACCACACACTGGACACAGTGGTAAAATTTTGGATACTTTTAGGACACCATAACTTAGTAATGGTGTCAGTGGGTGACAAAGTGCTCATCAGAACCCAATAATCCTCATACCATTATTGAGATGTTAGGTCTCTCAAACAGAAAACAGGGATACCTACTATCATGGTTATCCCAGGCAATGTAATATGCTAACAGATGCTAACAGTGAAACAAGAACAGGATCCTGTGAAAACAAAAACATGGATCACTTAACACAACTGCTAAATTAATGGAAATATTTATAATTTGGGTATATTTTTCATTAATAAATTACATTAATAAATTACATGAAATTAAAGTGCCTGTAGTCTTAGTTTTTTTTTTCCTTTTAGAAAATGTTCGTTTTAGGACTGAATAAATGCATGCCCAGGATGGGATCCTACAGGAATTTCAAAAGATCTTTAAAATCTCTCTCCTTAAACAGCATGACTATTAATAAGGGATGTGTGTGACACTGTAAAACCCCTAGAATGTACACATAGCGGGTTCTGAAAACCTAATACTCATTTCTAAAGTAGGAAAATGAGTTAAAAATATGAATAGCCAATTTACCAAACAGCCATTTACTATACTAATAGTAAAAGAAGAAAAGGCGTCCTTACATTGTTGTGAACCCATGAATTGTATAACTGAATTTCAACAATGAAATTTCCAGATAAAAAATGATACACGGGGGTAGTCTGCAATAATAGAACTGCTTGCAATGCAGGTAGTGATGGAAAAGAAATAAAAACCCCAGGCAGAAAGAGAATCAATAAGCCAATCACAAAGACACAAGGGTCATCGGGTCTTTTTGGAGCTGAAACTCTGAATAAAATACTTAAGATGGTAAAATGGTTGTTCTTCTGTCAAACCTTACACAGAAATATGCTTAGCTAAAGACTGGAGAAAAAGCTGGCACACATTACATGATGTATAATATATCATCTGACTGCGCAGTAAGTACATGGTAAAACCGTAGGTTTTTATAAGTTATTATTCAGGACTCTTAAATGGGAAAAAAAAATCCTTTTGGTACTGCAGACCACGTTCAATACCTTAATCATTAGTATAGTCTGTGCACAATATCTGACAAAAAAAAACAACTGCAGCCTTGCTATGTCTTTTTTTTTAAGAACACTCTCGTTAAAACAGTGGCACTGACATGCAACAACTAAGCTACATCCACATCCTGTTCTTGTAGTGTCAGAGCGACTCAGAAAAAAGGTGAAGCTGCCTTTTAACTTATTTAAAACTCGCATCGAGGGCGCGAGGGTGAAAAGCGAGTTCTTAACCAAACCAACCCTCTATTAATGCCATTCTATGCAACTAGAATATAAGGACACGTTGAGAACAACAAGTACCATGTGTACGTCAGCTAGAAGCCCTGCAGTTAGCGCCTTACGAGAATTTCCATCAGCAACATCTAAAGAGGAAAGGGTCAAAGTCATCTTCCACGTTTCCCTTTTGTTTCTATTTCTTCTTCTTCTCATCTGTTTTTTATTTAAAGTGCAGATTTCTTATAAGGGTAATCAGGCTTGTTTGGTGACCTGCGGTCTCTGCTGGCTATTGCCTCCTCGCTGGCACTGTTCCTGTGTGGCAGTAAGGCTCCTGGGGGCTCCCCAGCACCTCCTGTGCCATCGGGAGCCGACCTCCTGCCCAGGGGGCGCTCCTCGAACGGCTCTGGGCCCACACCTGGGGGACGGCCTGGCCCCAGCCCGCACGTCAGGTCCGTCTCGTTTTTGGGCCGCCCCCTGACCGCCCCGTGGCCGCCTGCGGCAGGGCCGCCCTGAGCGGCCAGCGCCAAGTCCAGCCTCTGCGGGGGCTGCTCCAGGACGTCCAGGTGCAGGGGGTCGGGCCCAGGCCTCGGGGGGTGCATGTCGGGCAGGTAGGAGGGATTGAGGGAGCCGGCGGGGGTGCGGCTGTGGCTGTAGAGGTCGGGGCCGGCGTAGGCGGCTTGCAGAGGGGAGGGGGTGTGGTGGCCGGAGGCCGGGGTGCCCGGGCGGCAGGAAAAGTCGTAGAGGTCGGGGTACTCCTGGCGGCTCTCGGCCTTCTGCTCCGAGGTGTGCTTCTTGCGGGAGCCGTGCCCGTGCCGGCCGGAGTGACAGGGGGCGGCGGTAGGGTAGTGGGGCGCAGGGGGCGCGGGGGGCGTGTGCTGGTGCAGGTCACTTAGGCCCACGTGCCCCTCAGCCTCCACGGTCACTTCTGGCAGCCTGCGCTCTTTCAGACTCATGGCTGAAACCCCCATGGCAATGTCAGGCATGAACTCGTTGATTACAGGCTCCATATTCTGTTTCAGAAAAGACAAAGGTACAGAGAATGAATCTGCTGCTGCATCTATGAAAGCTTTCTATCTTAGTGTGCACCACCCCACCTTAATGTGATGGGCCCTCAGAAAAGGATAGTTAGGAAACTAACATGTTCTTTTTAATACAGTGTATAAAACAGGAATAATGGCTCATAAAGTTACATTATTTAAGATCCCAGGTGACTAGCAATTTTTCTTAAAAAGATGTTTTGAGAATACAGTATTGTACTGGATTTGTTTCAATGAACCTCCTCTGGATCTCTATAAAGGATCTGGATCCGTTGACCCGAAAGGGGATTTACGCATGCCAGCTCACCCCCTGCTTCTCCGGGTGCAGAGTTCTGCTCAGTCCGGCAGGGTTGGTGCAGTCAGGAGGGACGGCCTTGGCGCTTGGGGGGTAGGCAGGGCTGGCGTGTTTGGAGGAGGGCCGCAGGTGAAACAGGGAATGGTTGCACGGATAGGAGAAGGAACGGGAGGGCGGCTGGGCGGGAGCTCGTGGTCTCCAGCCAGCCTTGAGGTGTCCGTGACTTGGGGTAGCTGGGGGGTGGTACGGGGGCGGAGGAGGGGGCAGGGGCGGGTGGAAGTTTGCCAAGGACTCCAGGTCAGCAAACATGCTCTCCACCGCAGGGGTGCTATTGATCCGGCAGCGTCCTGACTGGCGCAGCGCCAACACTGGGCTCTCATCTCCAAAACGCTCCTCGGGGAAGAATTTATGTGGATTCTGTGCATGCAAAATAAAAAAAAACGTTAAACAAGGATAATGTTATATATTAAGTGGTTTACATACTTGCCTTTTTGGAAAAGCTACAGTACAGACTAATAGAGTGTAATGTTAAAAAAAAGAAAAATAAAGACCATGGCAAAGCTCTATAGCTTTATAACAACCGAAAGGCAGAAACTACCCAAAATAATGTGCCCTTTGTCACAAAATAAGACCAGAAATTACTTTAAAACATTCAATGTGACCAACACAATGTAGCAGAATAACTGCAAATCTTGTAAAGCCTGCAACTTAAATTGCTGCTTCAAATCAATAATTTATGACCTTTCCACTTGAAGGTGAGGCAAAAAATGGCACTAATTGGCTTTTTCCTGGGTATGTTCTTTCTGCCCTTGCTATTCTTAGTAAACTCGTTCCAATCAGCACTCAACTGAGAAAACTACATGGCTCACTTCTGGACAGGAACCTTATTGCAGCTTTACTTTTGGCAGGGTAGAAAAAAACAGCTGTTTTTTATTTGTGTTAAAAAAATCCACAGCTATAGGGTGTGCTAATGTGAAGAGTAGCTTCCTGTGGCTTTCTCTCTGATGTCAGAGGCCCAGAGAAGTCTGATCTGCTTTTCACAGAGACAGACTATACACACACTGCAGCTGATGTGCCATGGAAAAAAAAAAGTTGTAAACAGCTCTCAGAATAAAGGGGGCATGCAAACGAGATCTTCCACCAAAGTATGAGAGAAAACAGGCAATCAAAGAGACTTTTAAAGCCATAGAGGAGATACTGAAATTAACTGCAATTACTAATAAAAGTGGGCAAGGTGGTGGTACTCGCAGGGTTTTTAAATCTGATCTTGACTCTGTAAAGAATGATTGTTTTTCAAAAGCAGTTGTTGCAATGTCCCTGCTCTCCAAGAGCTCTACGGCAAAAAAGCTGAACCTTAAGTCTTTTTTCTCTGCCCTTCAAATGGTACACTCCCTAAAGTCTCGAAGCACTTGTGTTTTTGTAAAGCACAATCTGTGAATTGATCCATCAGCAAGAACAAAAATCAATAAAAATCCACCTGTTTTTCTGACCCCAATAATAGAAGCAATCACATGTTTAGGTGGTGATAATCTGTCTAATTGTCAGTGGAGGTGCAAACAGCTCAATGAGCCACTATGGGACTTCATGTAACTTACCTGCAGGAGCTCGGCAGCACCATCGGGGAGTCCAAACTCCCGCAGCACACGGATCTGAATCTCGTAGCTCACAGTGGCTCCCTCTCCGCAATTCAGGGCATAAGCCCTTTGCACCTGGTCCATGTGCCGCAGCTCCTGGAGCCTCCGGATCATCTCCTTGACCACGCTCAGCTTGGGAACTACAGAAAATCAAAATGCCAATTAAAATCAGTGTGGTCAGAACTGGAATTGAAATACACAAAGTAGATTTTATTAACCTGTGATTGTAGTTATGGGAGAAACTGCATGGAGCAAAGATAAAACCGTTAACATATTTAAAAACACAGCATATTAAGACAGATTTATTATGAAAAATGTTAAGCTTATTCATGCAAGTCTGTTGCATGTCTTCCAGCAGTTGTATAAAAATATGTACTCAATATCTCAGTAAAAAAAGGCTTACAATACTACCTGGAACCAGAGCTAGCAAGAATACTCTTTGCCTTAGGCAATACATGCAAGGTCAAAAATATCTGAGAAAATTTGCAATGTGCTATGTGGGAGTTACACATTACTCCTACATACATGCGAATGAGCAACACTTTACCAAAAACTACCAAAGGGGAGACAAGGTTAAGTTAAATGTTTTAATACTGAACTTGAGGACGCTGTGCATGAAAACCATATCTTTGCTGCACAGATATACCATAAGACAAGACCGACAGAAGTTTGTTCATCAATTATAAAATTAATAAAGATTTTTGGACATTGCAAGGGTGCGGTGGAAAATCCTGCACCATCTGATAACCTTACCAGGTATTTCATTGGCTACCACAGATGGCGGAGCAGTCTGGCTGCCTGTGATTTGCTGGTGATTGATCATGTGGCAGCACTGGGGCACTGCATTGTTGACCATATAGAGGGTGTCGGGTACATTAGACATTCTCACCATCCGCAAGCGCACCAGATCGGTCTGCTCTACCATCATTTCATCTAGAACAGACTGAGAGGACATCAAGATTAACAACCGACCTCAATAACGACATCCTGTTTAAAATAGCAGGCGATTACATCGGTCAGGTCACGACATGTCAGCATGTCTTGAAAGCAAGAGGAAAGCACCTAATGCTAATGTTTAGACCAACTGTTCTATTCCACAATCAACATTTACTTAAATGTTAAAACCTAACTCCCTATTAAGCTCCCTGTTACTCTTATATATAATTCCATCATTTCCAAATGGCTTTATTTGATGTGTTCAAAGGACGTTTTTGATATGGCTCTCCATCACAGAACTGAGTTCCCCATCATTTTCCTACCTTAGCTTCCTCTACATACGGTGAGAAGAGCCGAGGCCGGACGTAGATTCCGGCGTTCTTTTGCCGTAACCAGGCATTGGCTTTTCCCCCTTCTGCAGTGGGCAGCATGTCTGAGGGAGGTGTGCTGATCAGTCCTCTCTTCATCTGAATGAAAAGAAATCAAACTTTCATGAGCTCAATGAGATGAGTCTAGAGTTGTTGCCTGACGAAGCTGAACAACATTTCTCAAGATTTAGCACACATCACTAAGCATTAATCGGTAACTGCGCTATGTTATTATCCCCATGTAAATATGATCCAGATGCACTTGGCTTCATGAAATCTATTGGAAATGTGTTAAGAAAACCAGAATCTATTCATCTTTACCTTAGGACTGCATTGCAATTGATCCAGCAGTATTGTAGGAACTGCAGTTTAACCATAGGAGCTCCAATCACTTTGTCTCCTTTTTTAAAATGTCTTACATCCTTGAGGGGCATATTTGATGTGGAATTATCCAAAGCAAATTACAGAACTAAAGGCAACACTACATTGACTGTTGTGGTCACATCCCGCTTAGTTACAATAAGAACAATACTTCCACACTAAAATTTTAGTTATATGATTCATGATTCATTTTATCACATTATTTAAAGACATCCACTGGTAACAAAAGAACATATCAAAAGCTTTCTGAGTGATCTCAATATTGAGGAGTATTGATTCTTTTCTATGTTACTAGTGCAGCTAAAAAATAATAGATTAAATAATGTGGCAAAAACACAACAGAACAAACAGTTTTAGAGACCTGTAAGAAAATCTATGGTGACCCTTATAAACTGAGAAGTACAGTGGACATCACGTCTACAGACCCTTATCGACATTTTAGGTGTTGTTGATGTAAAGGCTGAAATCAAGGCAAACCCTGTCAGACCTTTTTTCACCTTTAATAAGATCTTGTAACCAACAATATTTTGTAAAAAATAATTCAAAACAAAAAACTTTCAATGCCTTGCTTGCATAAATGTGCACACCCTTTAACTAAAAATTTGTGGAAGAACATTTTGCTTTGAATAGAGCTTTCAATAGGTCTCTATCAACTTAGCACACCTAGGTTTTGACATTTTATTCCACTCTTCTTTGCAGAAGAGTTCAAGCTCAGTCAAATTGATCTCCTGTGCACAGCCCTCTTTAGGGCAGTCCACAGATTTTCTATAGGGTTGAGGTCCAGGGTCTGACTGGGCTATTCCAGGATATTTGAGCCATTCCTTGGTTGAGTTGGCTGTGGGCTTCAGATCATTGTAGTGTTGAAAGGCGAAATTCTTCTTTAGCTTCAGCTTTCTGGCAGAGGGTAGCAGATTTTGCACCAAAATATCTGGATATTTGGAGCTGTTCATTTTCCCCTCTATCCTGACCAGAGCCCCTGTCCCCTGATGAAGAAAAGCAGCCCCATTCCATGATGCTGCCACCACCATGCTTAACAGTAAGCACTGTGTTCTTTGGATGCTGATCTGTGTTGGCTGTGTGCTGAACATAACTTTTGGAATTAAGGAAGAATTAAGTTCTACCTTGGCCTCATCAGACCATAAGACATTTTCCCACATGGTTTTGGGAGACTTACTGTATCTTCTTGCAAAATGTTTACGAGCTTGGATGTTCTTTTTTGGGAGAATCAGCTACTGTCTTGCCACCCTAACCCACAGTTCAGACTAGTGGAGAATATGTGAAATGGCTGCAATATGCAGGGAATGGCCAGTTACTGCCATATATTCCTGCAGCTGCTTTAAGGTTGCCATTGGCCTAATGGTAATTATTATTATTATTTCAGCCTTTACATTAAGAAAAGCTGAAATTTCAATAAGGGTGTGTAGACTTTTTTATATCCACTGCATAAGTAACAATTACCCTCGTATTTATAGCAAAGTGCCAAACTTGGTCACTCATTTCACTTTTTCTAAATCTATGTGATATTTACCCATGGGGATGTCTGAAAGATCAACTATTCAAAGGCAAGCCTCATTCTAATGAGAATTTAATGGAAAGAACTGAAGACAATTATTCAATTTTATTGGACACACTTCAGAATATATTGCATAATTTGACTACAATTAAGTATAGAGGAAGACATATTGAACATGCTTTGAATAATAGGTATTTACATAGTAATCTGGACTGATAAATGTTTAATGGTCATATTAAAAAAAATCACCCTTTATATATACAGAAATACACTGTCAATCTCAGCAGCCAACATCTGTAAAATTCAGAAACCCCAATGTCAAATCCCAAAGCACATCTCTGAATAGGATAAGTATAAATGCATTGATTCATCTTAAATTTAGCTTGATGGTTCTGAGAAACAAAAATAGAACAGGTAAGATTTATGGGCACAATCTAAGGTTTCTGATTTTAATTGATGGTGTGCTTTTTAATCCACATGGCCTGGCTGGCCTTTGCTAAAGAAACCAGAAACCAGGCAGTTAAACCTTATCTTCTGTGACCTGCCGAGTCCTGCTAGCCGACATTTGCATTTGCTTTTGTCTTCTCTTCTCTAAGAGAAACACTTCTCTACATTAAAACACTTAGAGCTATTAACAACAGCAGCAAAATAACAGAAAAAATACAGTCAAAGTGAAAAAATGTTTTAATAGTCTTGAATTATCATAATGCAATTTATGAAGATCCAGGATAAAAGCTTTCTGCAAAGGAAATACAATTACAGAGAACACAACAGCTTCACTGGATTCAAATCATTCAACTGCTTACTTGGGAAACTCTAACATATATATAGGGGAGACAGCTTTGTTAGGAAGTGGTAAATGTGACCAATTATTTAATTCTCACATTGGGATACAGCACTAACAATTTTGTGCAGGAATTTAGTCTGTGAATACTGCTATATATTGTCAAAACCTGTATTAAACAACCATGTTTAGGCTGTTAACTCCAATAAATCTCTGCTTACATGCAGATATTAAACTAGATTTAAACTGTCACTGAACTGTAAAAGTATTTTCAGACTTAGCTCCTCTCATTTTTCTGATTTTACCCGTCAGGAAGGAAATATACAGATTGCATGATACGGATTTTGAAATAAATACACCAACTGACATTCCTAAGATGATTTGAAGATTAATACAGAAATAACTTTCATATAACTATTTAAAACCCCGCAAATAATGAGGAAGAGTATGAGCTTCACAGTCAGTTTTTTATTTCTATCATGGTGACTATCAAGAACTTATATATACATGTATAACCAACATGGAAGATATACAGTAGCTGTAACAGCTCTGTGAAGTTGACAAGTTGGTCTGCAAACAGCACAAACAATGACTCCCACCACATTTGTGCTAGTCTGTGCCATTCCAAGTAGAATTTGTGTAGGTTTCATTACAAGGCAAAATTCCACATATACGTGATTGAAATCCTGTATAGAAATGCACATCTGTTGTAATGGTCTACTGCAGTATCTGACAAATTCCTAATTGTCTGACATTCTGGAGCGGAGCGGTGGCTCTGTGACTAAGGATTTGCGCCTGTGGCTGGAAGGTTGCCGGTTCAAATCCTGCTGCCAGCAGAGGAATCCTATTCCGTTGGGCTCCTGAGCAAGGCCCTTAACCTCAACTGCTCCAGGGGCGCTGGAAAATGGCTGACCCAGCGCTCTGACCCCAAGCTTCTCTCCCTGTGTCTGTGTCATAGAGAGCAAGCTGGGGTATGTGAAAAGACAAATTCCTAATGCAAGAAATTGTAAATGGCTAATAAAGTGATCTTATCTTATCCCTTATCAATGAGTGCTTGTATTTGTCTAGGTTGTTTGTAGCCCACCTCTGTTACTGGTTAAGGTCACTGGTTAAGCTTGATGAGCTGTGTCAGTGTGTCTACAGGCAGGTGAGCTCTTTTGAGGTAGAATGTAATCTGGCTGTGGGTGGAGAGGGGAGACTGTGGCGTGACAGTAAACACACTAAAAAGGAGGAGTACAGATCAGTGGCAGCATAGTCCACTGAGTTACTTCCCAGAGCTGAGCTGTAAATGAACCTTCCCAAAGAGTCCCCTCTGCTCCTGCCATTGATGCACAGGGCCAGCCCTTGACAAATCTGTCGCAGCCCCTTCTGGCTGACCTCAGTGTCATGGCAGCACCTGTGTGAACTGACTGGTATGTATAGCTCAGAGGGGACTGTCAAAATAAGTACGAGGTTTCCCCTGTGTGTTGGTAAAAGCTGCCAGTGTGTCTGTTCGTGCATTGAGGTCTCAACAGATCAGCACATCTCATTGGTTTCTTAGGTATTGAAGATTCTTTTCTAGGGGGGTGATGTACCTTTCTTCCACACAACTGTATAGTTAAACAGATGTGATGCAGGATCTGATTTTGGGGATAAAGGTCCCACAAAATAGCCTGACCACTGGTAACCAGACAAGTATTTCCATAATTATTAATAACTACAAAGTAGTTAGCATAAATATAACAGTGTTTTATCCACTTTTCTGCTTTTTACTTTACTATGAGGAGGCCTGGTAATGTTCCTCTTTTATACTTTTCACACAAAATCTGATGTTTGAATTCATCATTAAATTAAAACCCCCACAAAATCTCTTAATTTTACCACAGTGTGAGAGATCCATCTTCTTACCTTGTTTTCAAAAAGGGTGGTAGTTAAGAAATTCCATGGAAAAAAAATATTTAGCATGTCTTAATACTTCACAGCTGTGTAAAGAGTTTTAAAACCGTTAAGAAGGATTTATCAAAACCGCTTGTGAATAGCATATTTAAAAAGTTTAATTTGAGCAAATTAATGCAACTTCTTAGATTAGAGTTGTTTTATTGTGGTATTTTGTGTGCCGATAATACATAAACACAGAAAAGTATCTATTACTTTTGGCAGACTATTGGAATATACTCCCCCGAGAAATAATTATATCTCAGAAATGAAAGCCAATCTTAATGGCACAAATCTAGCACAAATGAATGTGGTGGCAGTAATTGCTCAAGTTGTTTGTAGATGGCTAAGGTCTGCTAAGCAAGCAATAATATATGATAAAGGACAAAAAAGTGCCTTTGCCAGTTTAATAAAAAAAAGTTTTTGCTTTACACTGAGAGCCAATTAAATCATATAAGATTGGAGACAATTTATATCTGAAAAGAGTAAAATGAACTTAATACCCACTCACCGTATCTGACAGGACCTCGCTGTTGGTGGGAAGTATATGCTCGATACGCACATATGGCAATAGAGGGGACAAAATTTCCTTCAGCTCTTCAATGTCCAAATCTCTTCTTTTTACCCCTCGTTTGTTCACACTGTGAGCGGTTCCACTCAGCAAGTTAGGCTCTGCATCACACAAGCAGAACAGATTTACTTCACAGTGGTGCAAATAATAAACAACCCTTCAGGGACCTTCTTTGTGGTCATTCTGTTAAATGTTTTGTTGCCAAATTGTCTTCTCTCTGAAGACAAAATAAATGGAAAAAAACAGCTACAGGCCTAAACAGACTTGACCATATGAATCTGGGGAACAACATCTGAACTTTGTTTTTACTTACATTGTCTATGGGCTGTGTGGGCTTGGTCCATATCCACAAATTGCACTTTTAATATGTCACAACATAAGAAAGACAGCTATCAAACAAGGTGGCTATTTGGCCTGTTTTGGTCACTTGGCTGCTAGTAGATCCAAGAATCCCACCAAGCCATTTCTTAATGAATCCCACAGTGTCACCTTCACCAACAAATGTTTGTTTCAGACTCCAAGGTATCAATGATTAAACCACTGAACACAGCAATTTCTTCGCCTTCTCTCAGAGACTGGGTTTCTTACCTCGGTCTGCCATTCTTTTAATAAGCTGGTGCTCTCCCCACTTAACTACATATTTGAGAATATCCTGCTCACTGGCCTGCAAAAAGGAAAAAAAAATAAGCAAAATTTAATTGTGATTCTTCACAAAGACATTGTGTATTTCCAAAGGCAAAGAAAGAGTCCTAAATTAGTATTGGAAAAATTCTCCTGTTTCTTCATATTTTATAGAAAATAGCCCAAAGATAAATGCCAAAGATAGTCTGTTGCATTTTTCATCACCTAACTTGATAACTTGAAACATTTGGCAGAGCTAACAACTATTCACCTTCAATTAAAAGTGATTCTCTCAACAGTCTCCTTCCAAACTTGATGTGCAGTCAGTGTGTGAGCTCTGTGGTTTTCCAAGACCTGTCATTCTGAAAGTACTGATGCCCCCAGGGAGCAATTCATTTTGCACATTTAACTTAAAAACTAGAAAATTTATCTTTATTTTGAAAACCTGGGGAACATACTAATCAAATCGTTATGGGCGGTCTGGCAAGCATTTAAGTATTTGTCACAAAGACACAATTTTGGAACAATTCCAGAATAACAGTTATACAGTTGCTTTTACATGAGATTTCTACACAAAGTGAGAACTGCAACACATTAAATAAAGATGATGTAATTCAGGTTTTTGGTTAATTTATTCTAACTCATGCAAGAAAAGAAAATCAAAACCATTCTTAAAGTTCCTAAAACTAGAAAATTCATAAGCAGATAATTTGTTGTGCCAAAAAAAGAATTAATAAATGCGTGAAAGTTAGCTGATTAGGTAGTTTACTTACAGGTCTGAAATTTTACAGATACTAATTAAAACAAGATCAGCTATTTTAAATACTTAACAAGCTACTGCATAGTTATATCTTTTCTGATAAAAAAGAAACAGAAAAACCACACCATATAATAAGCCGTTGATATACCGTAGCAAAAGGAAAACTAGAGAATTTGGAAAGCAGAAAAAACATTTTGGAGCATGCCATCTTAACCTTGACCATTTCCCACTCGAACCACACTAAAAAAGGTGCCAATTAATTGAGTGACTTGTGCTAGTTTTTTTTTTAATTTCTGCATTTAAACAGCATTTAACAGTTTTAAAAACAAGAGGCAGGGGCAGCATACAACAGTCCTGGAGGTCTGCGGTGAACATACAGTCACTTGAATTAGCCTAGCTGTAATAAACAGTCAAAATTTTACCCAACTGAAAATAAATATAAAGCTTTAAGCTTCAAGTGGAATCCAATGAAAATGTTTTAGACAAAACTGGAAAGTTAGCTCTTCACCACCATGGAACACAGGGTCAGCTAGGATTTTCCACACGAGTGTCTATCTTTCGAGAATAAAAAGATTGCTAATTGAGAGCGCGTTTTAACATTTGGTTTTGTCAGTTGGGCAAAAGGTCACAGCATGCCAGAGGGGCTTTCAGATTGCCTTGTTCTGGTAAATATTATTGGAAAATGGCTGCATGTCCACTACGTGTAAGCATTAGGGTCATCAAAACTCTGGACATCTTAGAGACATGAGGAAACGAATGCCAGTACATACATGAGTCATGGCCTTGCAAATAAAAGAAAAACAATAATAAAGTAGGTCACATTTACTACCAGTAACCTACTCAAGGTAAGACAATTCCATAATCACACTTACATTAAATGAAAGATGATTTTTAGTATTTTTCTGGGTACCCAGTTGGTACTTTACCTGTAGATAGTCAGACTGGATGGCAGTGAGCAAGTGGTCTTTACTAAGCTCATAGAGAACATCTGAAGTCATAATCTGGCTGAACTCCTCGCAGAGGAAATGAAGGGCCTGCCGATAGACCCACTTCGACCCGTAGGGCTGAGAACTCCACTTGAGGATGGTGATCACCGAGTCTAATGAAATGCTCTCCACAATAATGTCTTCACATCCTTGAAAGAAAGAAAAGAACAATTTACAAGATTTAATTGAAGGCAATTTTATTGAAGTTTTTCTAAAGGGTAAACAAAAGGCGGTTAGTAAGCTGGATGTTGTAAAGGATGGGAAAAAGCTCTTTACAACTTTTATGCAACAAAACAAATATTATAATTTAAAGCTGTAAATTATGTTTTGATCTAGGAAGTAATCCTTCATTTTGTGTTTAGGTTCACTGTTTGAGAAAAGTAATGATCATTTAATTGGACTGATAATGAAATAATTAGCAGTGCAATAACCTTCTGGGAATATAGGAAGAGAAAAAGATACTCAAATTAATACTCAACATACATACCTCAGTGCGATTCTTTTAACATTTACATTTAAAGCTATTTAAAATTTGCAAGCTGTCGAATATTCACAAATGGCATACAATATGATGAAAATGTTAAGAAGTAATGTAAAAATAAAAACAGTGGAAGCTGATAAGGTGGAGCAAAAGCAAAACTAAAGTCGAAAGTAGATATTTTTTGAAAGGGATATGCAAATAGTCTAATCCTCACACTAAAGACTGCACACTGCAAATCACTTTCAATGCTGTAAACTATGATATTCTGTACCATTCCTTTGTTCTAAAACTGATAAGAAAAGTATCTTTAAAGTCTGAAATATAGAAATAAAATTTCATATTTTAAGAACATTAGATGTACCAGTTGCCAAAACTCCACAGGTTCCCAAGATACATTTCTTGATTCTCAGAACTTTTATATCAATGTCGTTTCTAAAAATCGAAATGTGAAGCAGTTATTTTATGTCATATTTAGTATCAAACAAAATTTTAATTACAAAAAATGTATTTGTTTTTTACTTTTGATATTCTGATGCTTTTAGATAAGCAGTTGTGTGGTTGTCACCAAGATACCACTGTAAACATTTTTCTGTTTAATTTACAGACTGGTATATTTGTTGATAGCTCAAACCCATTCGTTTATCCAACTATAAATTCCAAATGTCATTAATTTATACGGGGTAACAAACTACATAGCTTTACATTTTACCATCACAATTACTAAACTAAAAAGAGAAAGAAAAATGTGGCAAGACTAGCAATTTCAAATTAAAATTGAAAGGCTTTAAAGAGGAGCATCCCCATTTTGAACACGATCAGGTTTAACCAGCTGTGACTCCAAAACAAATTACTCACAAAACTGCACTGTTAGAGATCATGGGAGAGCCAATGAAAAGTACAACAGCAGAGTGAACAGAGACAAATTACAAAATTGATCAAAAGAAAGTGGTTAAGCTGTCTGGCAATACCAAGTTTTCACATAATCCAATCTAAAAAATGTCCACTCTTTATGATAAAAAAAATACTACAAGTAGAAAAGGAATTGACTTTAAAATAGGCAGTTCTTCAGATGGACATGCAGAGAATTGCATATAAGTCAATTAGGCTGTCTAAAATTTAAGAACGTGATTTCTGATTATCATCATCCAACAGTTAAATTGAAATCACTCTATTACACTGCCGCCTTTTAGCCCTCAAGTCCTGATACATTAGTGAACCAGCAAAGCTTATTGAGAGAAGAAATTTAACAGCTGGCCTTCAAAGTGACAGCTCTAAAACTGTTACCCAGTTACTGATTCATGTCAGCAGAACCACAGAAATGACTCTCACAGGTACAGTGCCTACAGAAAGTCTACACCCCCTTGAATTTTTTTCACAATCTGTTGTGTCCTTGCTTCAGTTTGATGCACTTAAATGAGGATGTTTTCCCATCTACACAGCATACACTTTTGGGGGAAACGGTAGCATCAATGGCAACAATTACAGCTGTGAATCTCTTGAGATAGGTCTCTACCAACTTTGAAAAACCTAGACTGTGCAACACTTGACCATTCCTCTTCACAAAACTGTCCAAGCTTTGTCAAGTTTCATTAGGGATAGCAATCTTATACCACAACTTCTCAACTGGATTTAGGTCTGGGCCACTCAAAAAGGACCTCTGTAACCACTGCAGTGTAGCTTTGGTTGTGTTCTTCTGGTCATTATCATACTGAAATGCGAATCAGCTTTCTTGTAGAGGGCAACAGCTTTTCTTCAAGACTTCTGTACTTTGCACCCTCTCTGCAGACAAAAGCCCCACTTGCTTCTGACATGTAATATCACCCAAACATGATGCTGCCACCACCATGCTGCACAGTAGGGATTGTGTTCTTTGGGTGATGAGCTATGCTGGGTTTGCACCAACAGTAATGTTTTGCATTTAGGCCAAAAAGTTCATTTTAGTTTTGTCAGACCACAAATGTTTTGCCACATGTTTGCAATATCAACAAAACACATCCTGCCACATAAGCCAGATTTGTGGAGTGCCTGGGATATTGTTATCACAAGCACGCATTGACACATTTTGGCCATAAAAACCTGTAGCTCTGTCAAAGTTGCCATTGGCCTCTTGGTAGCCTCTCTGATCGGTCTCTTTCTTGCTTGGTAATCCCAGCCTTTATGATGCATTTTGGTAAGAGTTTCAGTGACTAAGACCGCTCAACTTGCTGGTGTTTCATGAACAACTGTCAAAGGAGATGGAACTCTCAAGTAAAGACATGACCAGTAAAGACCAACAGTGAGCAGAAGCACATGCTTCAGGATCATGATATCTGTGCATTAATTTAAAGTGCCAGGCAAAACAGACTAGCAAGTGAACATTTCACCCTGGGCACTCAAAAACGATTTCTAGAGAACACAACAGTGAGGGAAACAATAGTCAGGGTGCTGTGCACAGACCTATCTTTACACATGGCGGATTTGCATGTTGAGTGCCTCAAAGAGCAATGGACTATCAAGCATGTGAAATGTTCAAATAAATCATCCCTCAACCATGTTCTCAACAAACAGAAGAGTAGTGCACATGTGGCTCCAACCTGAAGAGCTCTATAGCCCTGAGTGCTTGGTTATGACAGTGAAGGGGTCAGGTTCCATAAAAGTGTGCTTGCACACATTCCCTTAGAAGGCAAGGTCAATGCTAATTGCTAGTTAATGTTACAGAGTGATCATCTTCACCCCTTGATACATAATTACAGGATGACAATGCCTGCATTAGAGAGAACGTGAGGCTGCCCAGTGGCATTCTCCATTGCCACACACACGGCCCTATCCCATCTGGACAAAAAGAACACATACACAAGACTACTATTCATCGACTTCAGCTCAGCTTTTAACACTATCATCCCAGAGAAACTAGTCTAGAAACTCAGTGCACTGGGTCTCAAAACCACCCTCTGCAACTGGATTCGGGACTTTCTGACAGGCAGACCTCAGGCTGTCAGGCTTGGAAACCACACCTCCGGCACACTAACTCTGAACACTGGGGTCCCCCAGGGGTGTGTGCTTAGTCCATTGCTCTACTCCCTCTATACCCACGACTGTAAGGCCAAACACAACACCAACTACATCATCAAGTTTGCCGATGACACCACAGTTGTAGGTCTGATAACAAACAATGATGAGAGGGCCTACAGGGAGGAGGTCAATCTCCTTACAACATGGTGTGATGACAACAACCTCACCCTCAACGTCAGCAAAACCAAGGAGCTGATCGTTGATTTCAGGAAACTGCAAACCAGATACTGTATGCCCCTATCCACATCAACGGGACTGAAGTGGAAAGGGTCAGTAACTTTAAATTCCTTGGTGTCCATATCACCGAGGACCTCACATGGTCTTTCAACATCACCTGTCTGATCAAGAAAGCGCAACAACGCCTGTACTTCCTAAGACTGTTGAAGAAGGCTAAGATATGTCCCCAGATCCTCAATAACTTTTACAGATGCACTACAGAAAGCACACTGACAGGCTGCATCACAGTGTGGTATGGCAACTGCAGTGCTGCTGACCGCAAAGCCCTACAGTGGATGGTGAAAACTGCCCAGTCCATCACTGGGGTTACCCTCCCATCTATCCAGGACATTTATGACAGACGGTGCTTGAGGAAAGCTCTAAGCATAATCAAAGACCCCACACACCCCAGCTACAGACTTTATGATCTGCTTCCATCTGGAAAACGGTACCGGAGCATTCGGGTCCGGACTACCAGACTCAGAAACAGTTTTTACCCCCGCAGTATCAAACTGTTAAACTCCCAGCCTCTCTTACTCTCACCTCACCTCTCACCTATGATCTGAACCTCACAGTGCTTTCTTTCTTACCAAAAACCCAAACACACATTGAAAATCTACCTCTACCATACATGTCAAAAGCTCACTCCCCATCATTTCTATCCCTTTATTTTATTCTGTTGATGCATATTTTTGCGCATAACCTGTTACCTTTTTGTTGTTTTGCACATTGCCTGTTGTTGTTTTTTTTATTTGCACATCGTCTGTTGTTGTTTTTTTGCACACTGCCTGTTGTCTCCGTCTTTCTTTTGCTGCACAATTGTACTGTTGTTGTTGTTTTATTCTCTTTGTACTACTTATGTCCGAGAGCTAGCTAAATAGCATTTCGTTATACCATATACCATGTATATGAGTCTAATGACAAACTTGAAACTTGAACTTGTTTGAGGAGCACAATTCAAATTTCATGGCCTTTTCAGTCACTAGATATGAACCCAATCAAGCATTTATGGTGTGAGTTGCAGAACAATCATGCTGCATCCCTTCTGCAGAATTCCAGATACTGGTAGACTATGTCACAGTGCATACAGGCTGTACTGTCCACATATGGAGGCCCAAGACCCTATTAAGTGACTTTACATTAGTGTTTCCAATCTTTTGTCAAATACCTCTATCTGTGAGATATAATGAAAACAATACAATAGGAAGACACATTTGTGACAGCCAACAATCAGATCCTTAAGATCAGCTAACAACAAATCCTAATTTAAAACCGTGTAGCTGCAACAGTTCACTTTACACTGCATACACATTTATTCAAAATGCAACGTGATAATTATGTGAGCACTTCCCTGTATTGACTAAAACTAAAGTGTAATAGCTGACTAAAGCTGAAGTCTAA